TTCTCTCTCTCTCTCTCTCTCTCTCTCTCTCTCTCTCTCTCTCTCTCTCTCTCTCTCTCTAGAACCTTTGTAGGACTGCTGCGTACACTTGTGCAGGTTGTCCATCTAAACAAGGTTTTCCAGCTGAGGGGATGACTGGGGCTGAAATCCAGTTCATGCTCCACTTACAAAGCCTTGTGCGTAGAACAGGGCAGTATCAACTTGGTGGAAGGGAATTTTTTTTTTTTGGTCCTTTTTGAGACCGGCCGCACCGCGCTCAGCCAGTGAGCACTGTGAGTGCATCCGTCATCCCTATATCGGATCCGAACCCGCGGCGGGAGCGCTGCTGCGCTCCCAGCGCTGCACTCTCCCGAGTGCGCCACAGGCTCGGCCCTGGAAGGGATTTTTTTAAAAAAAATTATTTTAATTCATCAAAGGCATTATATCCTTCCAAGTTGTACCCACTCTGGGCTGTTTCTCCCTATGGCGGTGCCTTTTAAAGAACAACACAAAGATTCCGTGTGGACTAGCAGCAGCCCTAACCTGGTAGTTCCCCTTCATACCACTTACCACGGTTATATTTCTACATTTATTTGGTGATTATTTGGTTAATGTTTGTTTCTCCCACTACACAATAAGCTCTATAACAGCAGGAACCTGTCTGGTTTTGCTTATTATCAAATCTCCTCAGCATCTGGAACAGTGCCTGGCACATAGTGGGTACTCAGTAATATTTGCTAAATACGTGAGATTTTTTTTTTAAATGCTGGAAGAATATTAGGCTTTTTGAAGGTAGAAACTGTCTTATTTTCCCTTTTATTGCCCCCCCAAATTACCATACTGCTTTGCACATAAATGGCATTCAGTAAATTCTTCCTGAGTGACTTCAAAATGTTCAAAGAAACCATATGATATTCTTCTGTTCATAGAAAACTAGATCTGCAGCATATGATTACACATTGCATTAGTGATGATGAACAGCTGCTATTTAAAGGCAGAAGAGACAAAAATGTCGAATGAATGAGAAATAGACTGCAATTGAAATAGAAAGGATTTAATTTAGCTTTTGAAACTCATCTCCCGATATGATGCTTACAGGATACAAGAAGACAATGCCAAGGGAAGCTGTGAATTTTCTTTATGTAGCCAAATGATCGACCAACCACCTACCTGAAGGCTCAGGGATATTTTTTATTGAGTTCTCAACAGACTAAGATGAGATAGATTTTTTTAAAAAATACGTTTTTTTATTTTGGGATAATTTTACAGAAAAGTTGCAAAGACAGTATAGAGAATTCCTATATTACCCGCATCCAGTTTCCTTCATTAACTTACATTACCATGGCACATTGGTCAAAATTAAGAAACTGAAATGTGTACATTACTATTAACTATACTCCAGACTTTTTTGGATTTCCCAAAGTTTCTCCAGTTATAGCCTCTTTATGTCTCAAGTGAGATCGCTTTTTGATGTTCTTTGATAGTATACAAAAAAGATTGTAGGGTCTAAAGACCAAGCTCTGTGAGTAAATCTAGAGCTGCCTAAGTCCTTCCTCCTGAGGTAAAAGTGCTTTAGTTTTCCAATCAACTGAATACAATCCCTAGCTCTGCCACTTAAAAAGCTGTGTATCTTTGGGAAAACTGTTTAGTCATCCCAAGCCTCGGTTTCCTCATTTGTAAAATATGGGTGGTAAGACCCCACCCCAACTCTGATGGTTCCTGAAATCCTTCACAGTAGGAGAATTCAGTGTTGAAAAACTTACGATTTTTAGTAGGTAATTAGACTTTTATATTTATTAAATTAATACTATAAAAGTAGTACTCTATATAGAATACCTGTGATATTTTACATATCTTAAATCAGTGACAAAGACTCTCTCCTTAACCAAACTTTAATCAGGTACCTCTGAGCCTTCTTCTTGAGTAGGTTTTGTCCTTGGGCCCTGTCTTCAGCTTGCCTGCTTCTGTTGTAGCAAGAATTCTGCTGAGTTGGTTTAGAGATAAATCCCCCATCCTTGATCTGATCACCCTTGTCTGTCTTTAGCAAGAATCCCCCTTTCCTTGATGTCTCCTCTTAGTGATTTTCCAACCACTGAGCCCCCAACTCTATTTGCTGTGGATAGGGCGAGACCCCCAAAGAGGGGTCAAGGCTTTAAGCAAGAAAGAACTCAAGAGCAAGTCAAATAGTGAAAGTAGAGAAAAATGTATTAAGAGAAAGCTACTCCACAAAGAAGCTGTCTCTCCTCTGAGATGAGGATAAGACTCCATTATTCCTTAAGCGAAAGCTTTTATAGTCCTTTAAGAGTTACTCAACCATATAGAAAAATACTATTTCTATTCAGCAGTTCATTATTTACGTTGACCAGCGACACAATGAACCCTCAGGTTCTGGATGCCTATGCATGATTAAAGTGCCCCTTTTTAGCAGTACCTCATTCTTTGAGGAAAGGGGCTAAGTCTCATGATCCTTGTCTGACCGGGTTGTTTTTTTTTTTTTAAGTTATGATCAGACAGGTGATTTCCAGTTGCCCTAAAGATGGTTTCACTTTTGTCTCCTGGTCTCAGTCCTTCTACCCTATCTCATACTCTATAAGTCCTCTCTTGTCCTTGCTGAGTCCTGTATTCAAAGCTGAGTCCTATCTCTCTCCCCTATTCCAATAATCTTATTTATTTATTTATTGCGGCTGGCCAGTGCAAGGATCCGAACCTTTGACTTTTGTGTTATATTCCAATAGTCTTGAAACCTATCAAAACAGTCCTCATTGAGGGCTTTCTTGCCATTTTAACAAGTTTTAGAATAATTTTTTCTTTAACAGTAATAATGAATAGGAACTAATTTCCATTTATCAGAAAAATTTAAAGAATAATCCCTCCAAGTTTTAATAAGACTCTTTAATATATTTTTGCTTTGTTACAGATAACATGAATGCTGCAAGGCATTTTCTACCCATATGTGTCCAACTGTTCAGCACTTTTCTAATTTTATTACTAGAGGTCGACTCCCACTTCCCAGCTCCCACTGATTCCACATGCACAGAGTAATTTGGATTTGAAATGCTTTAGTTATTATCCTCTACTTGTAGAGTTATATTTGACAAACGTCCTTCCCAACAAAGGGGAGTATGTCCATCTCTGCCAGTGAAAACCTTGTCTCATCCCTCTCTCACCAACTGAGGACTGGCAGTTTAGACGTGTTCAACAATAACTGCAATTATTATTGTTAAGACCTGCACTTCAATTTTTTCCAGCTTCCTCACTTTTCCTAAGTCTTCATTGCAAAAACCTCTTATTCTACCCTTGCTTTTCTCATTCTGAACCGAGAGTTCTCTCCTTATCTCCAAAAGCAAGAGTAACTTGCAATCTGCCTATAGTGAAACTGGTATTCTTGCTGTAAAGGCATCGTACGGAAGTAATTCAAGTGTACTAGAATTTTATGAATGGGGCACACTAGAGAGGTTATCCACTAAGTGATGTAAGTAGGTCTAAAACAGAAAATACATAGAGTATCAAGTAGGTGCTCAGGAAATGTTAGGTCTCTTCCTACCTCCTCATTTTTACATCTGAGGACACTAAGGTCCAGAAAGATAAATAGTCACAACTACGTTCTAAAAAGGAGGGAGGAAGGCTAACCAGTTAGCTCACTCGATAGATGGTGGTGCTGACAACACCAAAGTCAACGGTTCTGATCTCCTTACCGGCCAGCCACCGCAGATAAAAAACAAAAAATTAAAAGGGGGGAGGGGAGACTGTACTTTGTTTTTTGTCAACATTCTCCTTTTCCTGCTGCTCATTCAGTTACACGGCTTAATGATCCATCTAACAAATCTACTAAGGCTCAGCAATATATTTTGCACCTGTCAGGAGCCCAGATATGGTAACAGAGACAAATATGTTGGTGAAGTATTAACAATTTTGTTGTCTTCCCCTAAAAATTTAGTGTATCTGATATGCAAAAAAATTTTTTTAAATTAAAAAAAAATAACAAACCCAAAATTTGTCCGTCGTTTAAGTCTCACACTCTCATACATAGATGGAGATTACCACTGATTTATAGGCCTTGGCGTTGTCCAGGGCCTTGCGAATCCCTTAGCAGTTAAAAAGAGCACTTGGGTTGTAACTCACTGGAGTCTAGAATCATGTAATTTTAGGATATTTCTACTTAAACCTTAACCAATATTGGCACCAACTGGACGAGGATAAATCATTCATCGCAATAAATATTCATCAGAATAAATACTCGACAAGAATTCAGGGCGCATCCAGAGACTACGATTTCGCAGCGCTTTGAAATCCATCCGGGGCTGCGAAAACCCAGTAGAAGACTACCTGGCTCAGCAAACAAGATTTCGAAAAGAGGAGGGGCCTGGTCTTGACAACCCTGCGCGAACATACGCCTCAGCGCATGCGCATCTCTTGTGGGTGCCTTCCATTTGCTACGTGGGGGAGGCAGGTGGGCAGCCGTCTACATTTTTTGAGTTTCTATCCTCAGACAAAAACTAGGTTGTGAATAGTTCCATGAATAATGTGGAAGCATTAACCTCTAAGCTGGACAGTAAGGACATTTGGCATACACAGCTAAAGCAAGAAGTGACTTCTCGTATCTTCCCCCGTCCCTGGGTACATTGGTGGTCTAGTCCATTCCACAGACTCGCTGCCTTGCAGCGGGTCGAAGATCGAAGGATTGGGCCAATTGCGGCTGAAACGTCTTTGGAAGGAGGAAGGGGGTGAGGGAATATACCTTTGAGTTCTGCCTCTTCTTTTCGAGGCGGTGGTGGGAAAGGGTGACATACTAAATACTGCTCTCTTAAGCCAACGGATCATACGTCTCCGTGCAAATTGCCGGGAGGGCGGCGGGAAAAGGGCAAGACGAGAGTAGGGAAGGGCAAAGACTCAGGAAGCCGCGCGGGAGGGCGCGCGAGCGCGCCCCTTTTTCAGCAGTGTGGCGGGGTCGCACGCACGCCCGCCTCGGCGGCTGGGCGCAATTTGCGACAGTGGGGGGAGCGGTGGAGGTGGCGGCGGCAGCGGCAGCTTTGCGGCAAGCTCCGGCCGGGCTTGCTTGACGGCGGTGTGGCGGAGGCCCCGCCCGAGGCGGCAGGAACCTGGAGGGAGGCGGAGGAATATGTCCGAGAGGGAAGTGCCGACAGCGCCGGCGGGAATAGACATGCCTGCAGCTAAGAAGCAGAAGCTGAGCAGCGACGAGAACAGCAACCCGGACCTCTCTGGAGATGAGAATGTGAGTGCAGCCCTGAGCAGTCGTGGGGACTCTGGAGTGGAAGTTTTAAGTTCTTTTAAAACTAGACGCGGGGGCGGGCGGCTGCTGTGGGGGGAGGGAGAGGTGTCACCCTCTACTCAGGAAAACGCGGGCGTGCAGGAGAAAATCGAACTTGTCTCTGTGCGGATTTTGAGCCGGGGCCAAGGGCAAGCAGAAACTTGGCCGAGAGTGGTTTAAGTGATTTTGTGGGTCTGAGAGGTCTGCTTCTGGGACTTCTGCGTGTGAATGGGGCGTGTTTGGGGCCTTGGGGAGATTTAGAGGAGAGTGCACATCTGAGATTCCAGTAGTTTAAAAGGCATGTTAGAGATTTTTCTAAGAAATTTGGAGGGAGGGGGCAGTTTGTTAGGGACTCTTTTAGAAGAGTTTGGGGGCCGTGTCACTCTTAGACCCCTTAGAATCTTCAGGATGGAAAGTATAGGTTTTCTACTTAATGGGTTTGGGTGACTTTTTAAAAGGGGGTTTTGTGTCTGCTCCTGTCCTGTCCGTGGAGACGGAGTGTGCCTTAGCGTCGCCTTTTCTGTAGGAGTAGCAGAATTGAGAGGGTCGGCTTCTAACTTGGAGGGGGAACAACCTTTGAGGAAGAAATGTGAGGGGATGGATTCAGCTTTGAAAGTTGTTACTTAAGGTAAAGGGGACGACCTGGAAGACTTTAGGCAACGGTGGTAAAGGCAGGTGTACTAGGCGTGGGCTCGTGGCTTCGGCAACTGTGAGGCGTTTTGGAATGAGATTTTTTTTAAAGCTCTGAATGGATATGGTAATCAACTAGTCCCGACAGTTAACCCAACTGTGTTTAAGAGACTCGGCAGCAGTAACCGAATTGACATTAGTAACTTTTCAGTTTTATGTTATAAGTAGATATCCAATAACGTCAGCGAAATGCCGTGACAATTCATTCAAAGATATTACTCCAAAATGTGAACACTTTTCTCCCGATATATGGCAACAACTTCTGAATGTCTTTTTTAATCCTTTAAGTGTTTTAGAAGAGTGGTGTTATGTTCTTAATTTTCTGAATTTGGCTAGTTTCAGGAATAAATGTTAAATCTCACACATTCAATTCCTAAGTTCTACATCATAAACACTGACCGAAGCACATATGTGGCATGGTGTCATGACAGAGATTTTCACTGAAGAGAAGAGAAAGGATTCTTTTTGCAGAGAGAAGAAAGGTATTTTGGGGATTGTTAGTTTGTGGGATCCTGGACTTGGGTCTTAAATGTTACTGTAAATCTTTTTTTTTCTTGCTGTTTGTGCTCCCCAATCTCACTGTGTATGATGGCCTAGAATTTTTGGTCCTCTTCATGCCTGTCCTTGGAGCCTTTTAATTTTATTTCTGCCTTTTCTTTAATTTCTCTAGGCAGATTAGACTAGCAATAAAGAGCACAGATGCTGTATTCAGGTATTAGGTTAAAATCCCCACTCTACTAACTGGTTGTTTGACCATGAGCAACGTAGTTGAACTAGTTGCCTCAGTTTTTTACTTTTAAAATGAAGATAATGGTATTTACCTCAGGGGGTATTGGTGAGGATTAAATAAGATAATATAAGTAACAGGCTTAGAAGAGTGCTTTCAGTGCCCTAATGAATCCTGTGGAGTCTTTTCAGAATGACATTTTTAAATGCACAAAATATAGGTATATAAGGTTACAAGCAAAATAAATTACAAAATTGTAAAATACGTTATAAAAATATTTTAAAAACAAATTTTCTAGATGTAGTAATATATGTGCTTTAAGTAACAAGATCTGTAGCAAGTAGCAGTGGGTCTGATAGTAGTGATGGACATAAAAAAATTTTCCAGATCTTCAGCAAGTACAAAGATACAAAAATACCTGATTTCTATTGGTGACAAAGTCACAACTGCAGTAACATTAGTATGTATGTTGCGTATATTATAATAGAAGGAAGTGTTAAATTTCAGTTAAAGGTGGTGAAAATTAAGATGCAAATTTTTTTTTTTAACAGGCCCTCTGAATTCCATCCAAGGACCCTGATCTAGGATGTAGGTTAGGGAAGGCAGTACGGAACACTGTATAAAAGTGAGTTCAGAAAAAACTGACAAGGGCAGTGGTTTTACTCTTGAGGGAGCTGAATAATGACAAAAGAAGGGCAAAGGCAGGTGGGGGAAGAATGTGTTTTTGAGTTGGAATTAAAGTAACCTGAGCAGTTGCTACTGTTTAAGTGAGTCAAAGAATTGAAAGGACTTGTTTTAAATTCATTGTATATATTATCTGCCATTTGATCAGTCTTTTTAAGCTTATATGACTACAGAGTAGTTAGCTTTTGGAAGAGTACTAATGCGTTGCCTTGGTACTAAGATCAGAGGGCTGAATCTGGAGACTTGTCTTTTGCTTATGTTACCTGTGGCAAGATTAGGTACAAATTACTATTTCTGTGTCTATTTCTTTGTTGGGCAAATAAAGGCAATAGTACCCCATCTGTTGTACAGTATCATCCTGTATTTTGAGGAAGGGCTAGGGTGAAAGTCAGCCAGTACACATATTAGATACTCAGCAACGATTTGATTTTGTGACTATATTACCTTTCCATTTGATTCTGTCTTGATTTGCCTTTGGAGGAGATAGGTAAATTAAGTGATCAGAGTGGAATATGTAGTGTGCCCTCTGATTGATAGTGTTTTGTGTGGCCTCTTTATTGACAGTTCATTGTTTAGCCAGAAGGTAAAGAAGCTGGTGTATAAATGTCTAAGAGTTTTAATTATTTTATTTCTCTAAAAGGTAATTTTTTAGGAAAAAAGGTAAGTGAACACGTGTTAAAAATGTTATTTTACTCTCACGAGGGAACCAGGCAAATGTTTATAACTGGTTGACTCAGAAAAGTCAAAATTATACAAATTTATATGGAGTAAAGGAATGTAGAGATGAATTGCATATGGAAACATTTTTTTCCATTGAGTGGAATAGAAGACATTTTGAACCTCTACTGTGGAGAGAAAATTTGCGTGTCTGTCAGTTGTCTAAAAAGAGTTGTACGGTAGCTCAAAGACAATGAAGAGGGCTATAATCTGAAAATTTGGAAGGGTGTGCTATAAATAATGCCATAGTTTTTCATTGAGACACACAATTGTTTTCTACACTCGATCTTGACTATGTAAATACAACTGAAAGATGGGGAGAAATAAGGAGAGAGAAAAACTGGGATTTCAATCTAGGAACCCACCTTTAAAATTTTACATTTTCTGTTTCTACAAAGACTAATTACATTTACATTAAATTACATTAAAAAAATTTTTTTGAGCACCTGCTGTGTGCCGCGTATTCACTTTATTCCTATTTTGTCTAGATAATTAGTATACTGCAGAATAGTGTGTTTTTTTAAAAAGCATTTCATTTTAGAGCCATTTGAAGTTTTGAACACCGCAAAGAACTGTATAATACCATATTGTTTTTAAGTGAATTAATATGATTTTTTTTTATATGCCTTTTGACACTCTAGTTAATTTTTAACCTCCTGTAATATCATAAAACCAGCTTTAGGAAGCAATAATTTAGAAATAGCCCCTAAGGCAGTGTTTCCTAGACTGTGTTCTAACAGATGTTAATAGGCAGGCACTGCATGGAAAAAAGGCTTCCTCTGGAATGAATTTAGTAACTACTGCCCTAAGGTCATATGTTTAAATAAATCTCTTTATTCCAAAGAAGACATTGGAATCCATAATCAGAGGAGGCAGTGAAATCCTCTTCTGAGATTAAAGGGCCATTAATATATCTTCTGGACTGGAGATAAAGTATAAATTAGGAGAAATTTCAAGGTTTCCTGCAGTCATTTCTGTATTTGGAAGGATTTTACTTTAACTATGGAGTTTCTGTAGTTGTTAATAGATGAGTCTTACTATTAATTTAGAGCTATGAGGCAGATTTCACTTGTAAATAGCACTAAATATTTAGGACTTAAAAAATTCTTAATGGTTTGTGTTATAAATAAGCAGAATTTGAATAGCAGGTTTTTTAAAACATCTAAAGTAGGAAAATGCTTGTTAAACTACATCTAAAGTAGGAAGTTCCTGCCTCAAATGGCCACCCACTCCCACGCTCCAAACTGAGCAACAGCCAGATGAATTATGAAGACATGTAGATCAGTCAGATTTAGGAGTCACAGCTTTGGGTTTGAATACCAGCCAGCAACCCTTACCAGCAAGAGACCAGTTAGGCTTTCTTAACAGCATTTCCTTATCTAATAATACCTTCTGTGAAGAGCTGTGAAGATTAAATGATCCAGTGTATTAAAGTGGCTGACACAGACCAGTACCTTATTATTTAAAGACAAGATTACTTTTCTGTTATCATTCTGATCAGTATTTTTTTTTTCACTTTTGCTGTAATATAAAATATCTACAAAAATTCTAGTCCGTAGCTAGTTTACTTTTTATCCTTATTTGGAAGCAAGAATAAATTTTTCCATTTTTTGCAGAAATATCTTCATTTAGTTCAGTTAGCATCATCCCAGTACACAGTCATTTGGTGCTAAATACAGTTTTGCTATTTCATGTAATTTTTCCCAATTTACTGCTTACAGGATGATGCTGTCAGTATAGAAAGTGGTACAAACACTGAACGCCCTGATACACCTACAAATACGCCAAATGCACCTGGAAGGAAAAGTTGGGGAAAGGGAAAATGGAAGTCAAAGAAATGCAAATATTCTTTCAAATGTGTAAATAGTCTCAAGGTATGTGCAAAGAAGACAGAACCTGTGGGTTGAGTGCTAGGCTTCAGCATTATTTCTCAGCAGTACACATTTTATACTCAAGATACTCTGTCAAGTTTAAAATATTTAAAGTTACAGTGTTTTGAAGTTCTTTTTGGTAATTCAGGCTGTGTATTTATTATAATCCATCCCATGTTTTTTTTTTTTTGTTGTTGTTGTTCTCTTTTGTTGTTTTAATTTAAATGTGTAACACTGAATATTGCAGACTGGTTTGTTTTACTTTTTGTATTAAGTAAAAGATTTTGAGAAATGTTACTCTTTATATGTTGGTAAAACTTAAAAAACATAAGCCACTTCTGGCACCAGTTATTAGAAAGAACTGAATGGGACTCATTAACTTTGAGTCACTGTAAATTGAAACAGATGTCTTATTTTGTACAGTTTTTGAAACTTTAACACTTGTTCTTTGTTTTATTTGTAATTGTTTTCAGAGAAAAAGACATGAACTTTTAAAAACTTTTGTATTCAATATTTGGGGAAAACAAGGGGTTGTTTATTTAAATTACTGTTTCCTTGACTGGCTGGTTAGCTCAGTTTGTTAGAGTGTGGTGCTGTTAACACCAAGGTTGTCTGGGGTTTGATCCTTGTACCAGCCATCAAAGAAAAAAAAAACAAAACTACTGTGTCCTCAACGGTATTTTTATTTACTATACAAAAAGTATTACTGATGTTTGATTAAGATGTTTTCTTTTGGGCCGGCACGGTAGTGTGCCACTTGGGAGCGCGGTGGCGCTCCCGCTGAGGGTTCGGATCCCACATACAGACTGGTTCCCGCTCACTGGCTGAGCGGGGAGCGGGTGCAACACCGAGGGTTGCGATCCCGTTGCCGGTCCTGGTCCGGTACGGGCGCGACACTGAGGGTTGCGATCCGTTGCCGGACACGAAAAAAGACAAAAAGGAAAAAAAAAAAAGATGTTTTCTTTTATATATATATCCACTTTCTGTTTTTTTTAATTTGAGGTTATTTTTCCTATTCTGAGAAAAAATGTACATTACATTATCTCATACATATGTAAATTAAAACCTTTTCTAAATATCTAAATATACCCTTAGCTGAAGTTTTGGGAAAGCATAAGAAGCTATGGCCATATGACATTTTCCTTAGTGTCAAAAAATTTGGTGTTCAGTGTGTCTCATTATACCTCCATAAAAGGAGAGAAATTAATTTCAGCATATTAAAAAAGAAGGCAAAGTATCCATTATAGTTTAATGTTAATATTTACTTAGGTTAACCTATTACTTTTAAGTACTATATCTGGAAGATGTTTTAAACTACCATTTAAATATTTCAAAAGCCTAAAGCTGATGTTTTTCAAATGATAAAATAAAAGTTGTTACACTTTAAAAGTGAAAACAGTGCTTTAAAGTGAACATGAAAGTTAGTGTTAAATGCCAGGTTGTTAGTAAAATCCTAAAGCTGAAAAATAACTTGGTGAATAAAAGTGAATAATTGTTTTTTGTGTATCTCCTTATATATAGCCTCTTTATTAACTGTGAAGTTACAGTCCACCCTCGCCCCCCAGTATTCATTATAAAACCTCTTGGGATATTTTTCTTTTAAGACCCAAATCCAGGATTATTTAAAGTTGTTTCAACAGGACTAATAGAAAGCAATGATTTAAGTGGATTCTGTTACGTTTCACTTTACAAGGGAAAAATTAAGCCTAATAAAATTTAGCAAATGCCAAAGGAGATACATTACCTCTTGAAGGCCATTTGCTAGTTTCCTATTTCAGAACAATAAATTGTGTCCTTATGGCCCAAGAGGTTAAATATGTCTACCAAAATTATCTAGTATAAACTATACTAGCTTAGCGTAAACTAGTATAAACAATAATATGATTCAGAAGAATATGGTTGGGTTTAAGATAATAAAAGGCAAATATCAAAATGTTTTCATAGATAAGTAGACGTTACCTAACCTGTGGTTTAAGTATTTGATGGTTGTAAAAGTTGATCATACATGATATTTAAAATGTAAAAACTGGACTAGTAGATATCTTTTTAGTGTCAAAAGTCAGCTTATATATGATACACAAAATAATAGATTGCATTTTGGAAAAAAGTTAAAAGGGGCAAGTTTAGTTTACTGCCATTCTTTGGTTTCTAAGATATATTTATTTTTCTTATTTTATGATTATTTTATAGGAAGATCATAACCAGCCATTGTTTGGAGTTCAATTTAACTGGCACAGTAAAGAAGGAGATCCATTAGTGTTTGCAACTGTAGGAAGCAACAGAGTGAGTGTTCAGGGGTCTGTTTGACATTGGCTTGATTATTGAATTATCTAGTGTTAATATCACATTGAATCATTTGATATGATTTTCAAGTAAATTTTGTATAGCTGGTTAATTTTTTTTATATGAGAGTGAAGCTGTCTAAGAATTGTCAAATTAAAACTAGTATTTGTGACTGAAAATATGTCTTTATTTAATATATTTCTCCCAGTTGTTCATGAAACAGGTTTTATATTTATCTTTATCAGTATTTTGAGTGGTTGAAAGAATTGACTTTCCTTTTTTTGTAACGTTATTGTTATTTATTCAAATAGGAGAAGAAGTTTGTGGTTTTTAAAAATAATGTAATTAGTTGTTCTGTAAATAAAAGCATAAACCCAGGGAATTTCAATAGTTATTGAAAATATTTTAATTATTTGCAATAAACATTTGTTTGAGTTTGCTTTTAAGGAAGTCAGAAGTGTCTTGAACTGAGAGAAATGGGTGGAGAGAACCATGCTGGCACATTTAACATAAACCATTATTTAACTTTTTAGTTAAATGAGGTGCTGAACAGGTGGATTGCAAAGATTTGTTAATTCATTTCATTCACTTCTAAATGAGTGGAGAATAGGAAGATTCCCTAGTGCTTTTTAGGGAATTTGGAGAGTATTCTGTTAAAAGTTAAAATTACTTCAGGGAAAAATTGTCCTCTTAAGTCTTTATTAGCTAACATTCTAGTAATCTGTTTAGTACTGTTCTAGGAGTTAAGAGTAACAGCATAGAAATAGGTTGGTATATTCAGAGAAAGAAATATGGAGGAAATAGACTAATTGGATATGAGTTGATGATAAAAGTCACTTCCTCTACGCTCAACATACAGGGGAAACAGGTGAATCTGAGATGTTCCATCAATTACTTTGAGTAAAATAATATTTTATGCTTCTTAAGTAATTGTGCTAAGATTTTTAGAGAAATGCATGATTTTTAATGCACACTACTAGTTTCCTGTATTTATTTCTGTTTCATACTGTTCCTATTCTGTTCTCAGTCAAAATTAACTTTCAGTATTTTTTAAATGTTTGTATATTTCCAAGCTTTTTTTCTTTTCTAAAAGTTTGAGAATCGTAGGAATGCATATCCATTCACTCTGGGCTAGACCTTTCTATTCGTGTTTTCTAAATAGTCAAATTTAGCTTTATGTAGTTTTTCCTGGGCACTCTTTTAAGAAAGTTTTAATTACATTTTAGGCTCTGGTGCTTTTACTATTTGACAAAGTTATTGAAGTTCTGAGTATTTGAAAGTTAACATTGGTGTTTATAACAGAGGACAGCAAGGTTTTTTTGATGTTCAGCCAAACATAGGTTGTGTGATATGTAGCCTGCTTATAGTTTAGTTTCTAAATTCTTTGAAACAACAATTCACAGGAAACGTGGTGTAGTTTCAAGAAAATTTTGAGGGTTTTTTTGTAGTTGGGAACGTAGCCCATTAATTAATTCTGAATCCACTTTTAAGACATTACTGTAAACCTGTGATAATACATCACCATTTAGCCGTGGTAGTACCAGCATTGGTATAATCTATGCTTATTGTACAAATTGTGCATTATAAGCAATGTAATGCTTATTGCAGTGTTCTAGGCCAAGAAAAGAATCCGTATTCTCATTTAAAATGATATTGAAGGGTGTTATATAGTTTATTGAATTATAAAAAGACCTGCTCTTAGTATTTCTTTAAAGGGAAGAAAAAGGAAAACGTCACCTAGTTAGCAGCCTTATAAAGAATATTGTGAGAATATTAGAGGAAAGGGCCACTATACAGAGGAAAGTTAACGTTTGATTAGCCATATCCGTGAAAATAATTCATTATTAGACAAATTGTAGAATTTTTAAATGTGTAACTAAAACCTAAGTGATTTAAAACTACCCCAAAACTTTTTTATAATGAATTTAATTAAAGGGTGATAAACCACAATTCCTTTGGGGTTTCAGCATTATTCATTTTGAAGAGTTGGTGCAATTATGTGGATGAAATATATAAGTTTACAAGATTGGAAATAGAAACTGTTATTACTACAGTATTTATAATATCTGGATATTATATAAAACATGGACTTTATAATGGTTTCTTTAAATTGAAAGGAGCTATTTTAAAGCAATAGTTTCTGTAGTATCTTTAAGATATAATTATATCTTAAAACATGTTTAAAAGCTGAAGAGAATATGTTTCGATACCTGATGAAATATACTGTATTTTTGTTTCCATTAGGTTACCTTATATGAATGTCATTCACAAGGAGAAATCCGGTTGTTGCAATCTTATGTGGATGCTGATGTATCCTTTCCTGGGTTTTTGATATCTTTGGTCAAAGAAATTTATTTTCAATAAGTACACCATGACTATCCTAAATTGATTTCCTGAAGTTATTGTCCTTTCTTAACTTTAGCCAGTGCTATTCCTTCACTATCACTACCACCCAAGAGAATCCTGGTATCTAGTTTTCCCCAGTTTTAGAAATCTATTGTGGGGTGAACGTGGTGGTGGGTGCAAGTGGCTAGAGAGATGAGCATTAGAAATCCAGTAATAGAAAATGTTAGCAGAGACTAGCTAAACCCTTCTGTTTCTTTGACTTTGCCTAGGATTTTATCATTTCCTTGGCATTATAATGATGAACTTGAGTTAATCGGAAGCTCTGAAGCTGTGACAGGCAGTCGGGCAGTCATTCCGAGTACTCAATGAACAAAGCCTAGAGGGAAAAATTAAACGTGCAGTTTAGGAAATAAAATATTGCAAAACATGGGTTCATAAAGAAAAGGAAAAATTCAAAAAGCCAAGGGGTTAGAGCAGCTAAAGCTGCTAAGATATTTCTTCCAGATCCATTTGAAAAACTTAGTAAGCAAGACAAGGCAAAGACATTGTCTTCTCTAGATGATAAGGAAAGAAGTGACCTGTTGCCATATTGGGAAGCTCTCATGCAAAAATATGATGGAAAACTGAGTAGTCATTCATTTTTATTTAGGTATTTATAGTCAGAAATATAGGAATAGAGGAGTTGTTAGCAATCTACATCCTGTGTACTGGCCACCTTTTGGGGTTTTTGGTTTGTTTTTTACATAGTTTATCGGAACACAGCCTTCTCTATTTGTTTACATATTGTCTGTGGCTGTTTTGGCATTACAGTGATAGAGTTGAGAAGTTATACAAACAAATAACAAACAAAATAGATTGGAGGGACTGGTTTTGTTTGATTATTTGGCGTGGATTTTACACCTAAAATCATTGTATATATGTGGTTGTATAAAGAAAACTAAGAAATTTAGCAATTCTTTGGAGGTTTCTGTGAATTTTAATCATTGACATAATTATTTTTCAAAAACAATAATTCTTAACTATGGCATCCTAGGCTGATGAAAACTTTTACACTTGTGCGTGGACGTATGATAGCAATACAAGCCATCCTCTGCTAGCTGTAGCTGGATCTAGAGGCATAATTAGGATAATTAATCCCATAACAATGCAGTGTATAAAGGTGGGTTTTCTGGTTAAATTGTAGATCTTCTTTTGAATGTACACCTGTGAAAAGTTGTCATATTGAATTTGAAACTAATGGAATTGATGACTGTAAAATTTCTGATTTGTTTTGTACTTTGCTTATCACTTTCTTTAGATAAGTCTTTTGACTTTCGTCATATTTGGGTAATGTAAATTAAGGAATAAGTGGGAAAATGTTAATATTTGCAGTGTTTTCTTTTTAAATCATTTCCCTCCTTCGACCTTGCCTTGCTTTGGTTTGCTTTGGTTTGCTTTGGGAGTCTCTAAAGGAACAATAACTGAAGAGTGAGTTCATTTTCTAAAACTCCCAAACTGGGGGGTGTAGAGTTAAGAGCACCTTGTAATGAACTGAATGGTGAAGGCTGGGAAGTTGTTATGAAGACAAGTTTTACACATCACTTTAATCAGCTGTTTTTAACCCCGGGGGTACATTGGAATCACCTGAGGGTCTTTTAAACACTACCCATACCTGAGCCTCTGCTAATCCAAGCAAATCAGAATATCTGCAGGTGGGACTTCAGCATCTTTTTTTTTCTTCATGTTTGTTGGGTGATTTTAATATGCAGCCAAGGTTGAGAACCACTACTTTACGTGAAACTATTTTTCCATTCCCTTAAGATTTGTTGAAGAGAATTTATTGATTTGGGGATATGAAGCTTGAAATGTTTTAAATGTTTTAAATTTATTGTAGCACTATGTTGGCCATGGAAATGCTATCAATGAGCTGAAATTCCACCCAAGAGATCCAAATCTTCTCCTGTCAGTAAGTAAAGGTAAGAGAAGCAGGTGTTTCTAGTCCTACTTATTTGGGAATAATTTTTTCTAGGGGACAAATAGTGTTCGAAAGAAAAAAAATCCAAATTAGGGCCGGCCCGGTGGCGCACTGGATAGTGCGCCGCTTGGGAAGCGCGGTGG